GAGGTGCTACCACCGTCGCTGAAGGGCTCAGTCTTGGCCAGCGTCGGGTCCTTCTTGGAGCTGTCTGGTGTTGGCTCTATTGGACATAGGGGAAGCTTCTAGCAGCTTCTCACAGAAGCCACTCCAGTATCCCCCACTGCCAAAATCTTGCCACACACACCCAATAGAGTTCCCTACTGTATTTTTGAAGCTTACTTTTGTTAAAAGTATACTGTACTGTTCTTCTGGAAATGGAATTTAAAGATCATTTTTGTCGGACATCACAAAGTGCAAAGAAACAACATTTGCACAATTCATTTTTAGCTGGTCTACCTTCAAGATGGAAAGGAAGGAGCACAAACCATGACATAAGAGCAATACTTCCTTCTTTTCTGGACAATTGCATGCTCAGATTGCCCTTAAAGTTCTCAGGGGATGTATAGGTTGAGATGAAATATCGGTTTCATGTAATGGCAGCATGGAGATCATAGCTATAAGCTATTTTTGTAAAGCATAAATCAGTGCCTGAGCACTAAACCATGGGAGTCTAGCATTCAATTCATACATTATCACTAATTATAATTTTTTACTTGATGATCTATCATCACTCACGCAAGTAGCTATAAGCTATTTTTTCCACCTATAACCACACAACTTGTGCACAAGGCAATGACTGCTGAAAACCACCAAGCATAAATAAGAAAAAGGATGTTTTTGTTATTGGTAATTCTGTGCTCAGTTGAGAAACTGTTCCTTCTCACTACAACCCAGGGCACTTAACAGTTCTTTTCCCAAACAGTTTATTTTTTAACAAGGCAAGGCAAGCAGAGGCTCAGAGAATGAGATGCAGCAGCCAAGAATCAAGACTGACAGTTTACAGTCAGCATGTTAATTCAATGCCTTTTTTCCTTAAAAAAGAAACAACTGAAGACACTGTAAGCAAGGATGGGGTACAGAGGCTGTGAGAGAGAATCTTGACAGCCTTGGAACAAGTGACTAATTAGTATAGAGGAGGAAAGACTTAAAGTTCAATGTGCTGCTGTGACTTGTTTCCTAAACTGTTGGCCGTCTTGATCAGTTAATTTCCAGCATTTCTCACCAAGTGCCTTCATCCTCAACTGCAGCTGAGAACATTGCCTCTGGAACTGGGCTCTGCAGAGCAGGTGCCAGCACTTTCGCTCCGGGCCCACAGATCATCAATGTCGCACAGATATATGCTGGCATCAGCCACAGATGTGATCCTTACTGCAGCCCTTGCTGTAACTGTCTTCATCCCTGCTCCCCTAACTGAAGGCCTTTCTGATTTCCCATGCTGCATTCTTTTTCTTCTTTTTCCCACATCTATGTGGGTCAGAGCACAGCGCACCCGTTCAGTCCAAGTGTCCAATAGCATTTGAGGTCTAACTCAGATCAGCCTTACAGTGTTTTGGGTTTTGTTTTTTTTTTTTGGAAGGAATATGTCTTTCACCTTAATGTTATGATCAAGTTGCAGCAGCTCCAGTTAGCTGGAATTGCTCTGATATGACAAAGTGCGAGCTCAGGAGACAAAATGGGCTGAGCTTCATCTCAGTCCCTTGCCTTTAGCCATGTTCACCAAAGCCTCCTACTTTACAATAAGATCTTTCCAGTCATCCTGCACTGGTGAACAAGACCCTGCTGGCTTCAGCCAGACCTGCAGGACCTCATTGGCCAGAGGGGTGGCATGGTGGCGGCTTGCCTGCCCTGCCATCCTCAGATCTCACTGACACTTACTGTAGTCTTCTGGCCACTGCTTATGCTGGCAATATCAGCCACACCTACTACCCACTGCTAGTAGTTTGCTGTGGGGGAGTTTGCACAGCTCCCTCTGGGTAGCAATGACAATGGCTAAAGTGGTAGTGAGGTGAGTGTGCACAACAGCTGTGAACACAATACATGAAACTGTGCATTCCAGAAAGGTGGTAGCCCAAAACTGGTAACACCATGAGGAAAGTAGGAAAGGTGAATTTTACCTGAGACAACCATCAGCTGAATTGACCAGTAGACAGGTGATTGCCAGGAGATTTGTGAGAGTACAAAGAGTCAGCCTGGAAAGAAAACTCAAGGCAGTGTGAGAAGTTGTGACCGGGGACGAGACCCAGGAGTGGAACGAGGGAGGCAGCAGCCACCAAAGCTAGAGCTAGCGCTGCCAGCAGCAGCCCACCTCTGTGGGATGGTGTGAGCAGCCTGCGTGCAGCCAGCACGGTGATGTTGATGGGGTGCGGCACCGCAGGGTGGGGTTAGCAGGTGGGGTGCACGTAGAGTACTTGTGTCTCCTCAAGGAGAGGTGCATGGGTTGGGGAACTAGCACCCCAGAGAGCGGTGCACATAATCGTGTATGTGTGTGTGTGTGCACGTGTGCATAGTTAGAAGTTTTGAGGATTCATCACGGAAGGCACTTAGAAATTTCTAGGTATTTATCGACATTTGCTAAGCATCTCGATTTGTAGTTTATCTGCTGTGTTGCCAATACCGATCCTAACTGTGTAGTTGAATACCTGCCAGTTAGTTAGGTGCTGCTAATAATCAGATAATGTCACCTGTCCCCTCTGGCATAGCTTGGAGAGCTCTCTCCCTGTGGGGCACCCTACGCCCATGCCCCACGCCATGACCTCACAAACTGCGGAGTGATGGGGCGAGGTTGGAGAAGATGACCTTGCAACCCAGCCTTTGGACCCCAGCAGCACCCAGCTCCTGCTCTTCCCTCATGTCGACAGTGAGAACAACTAATCTGATGCTGTCTGAGACAGGTGTATTTGGCTGTTTCCAGCATAGGCCAACTGGTTCTGAACCTCAGGTGTACCCTGGTGGACCCTGTTGTGAAGGTGGAACTCACAGGAAGAGGCTTCCTGAGATGGTTTGAGGAGCATAATCCTGAACTGGACTATGACAAGAGCACAGCTTGCACCAACCAGGCTGTCTACCTCTCCAAAGCTAAGAATTTCCACATAGAGGGTAAAACACTGGAATGAGGCTCTGGTTAACTGAAGAGCATCTTAGCATTTGGCTTGGGAAGGTGAGGTCAGACCTTTTCCAGTGGAAAGGAAGTCTTCCTTTTGCCTATCCATGTGCTCTGTTTCTATCCCATGGCATGCTCCTTTCCACTACCTCATACAGTAACCGGGGCTTTGTGATGATCAGTAGTGTTGCACAGAAAGCAGTATTTGAGAGTGTGTGCAGTCCCCCAAGAGTTGGTGGCTTTATCTGTGAAGTGAACATTTATTGCACAGAAATCTATCACAACCTGTCTAGCAGCAGGTAGAAAACTTTTAGTCACTAGCACATCATTGAAGCATTCTTTGGTCAGCTAAAATGCTTGCCTTCGGTGTTCTTGTTGACTTACATGTCAGCAAGAGCACCACTGGGTATACAGACTCTGTTATATTTGCAACTACAGTAAAGGCATTATTAGAGTTACTGCTGTACCTTTACTAAGAGACAAGAAAAATGTTAAACACTGAAAACACCTGCAAACATGTGATTATTTCACTGAATCACAGGATCACAGACTGGTTGAGGTTGAAAGGTCATTCTGGACGTCATCTAGTCCAACACCCCTGCTCAAGCAGGGGCCCTACAGCTAGTTGCCCAGGACCATATCCAAATGGCTTTTCAGTTTCTCAAAGGAAGGAGACTCCACAACATCCATGGACTACCTGTTTCACAGCAAAAAAGTGTTTCCTGATGTTCAGAGGGAATCTCTTGTGTTTCAGTTCATGACTGTTGCCTCATGTCTTGTCACTGAAAAGATCCTGGTTCTATCTTCTTTGCACCTTTCCTTCAGACATTACACATCTTAACAAGCACACACATAAATGCAAATCTAACTATTAAAATGTACAGATTTATTAAAAAGAGTAAAGTCAATGGGATGTGACAGCCACCTAAGACAGTGAATTATTCCAGGGGATGCTTAAAGCAAACAGAAGCCTCCTAGGAGGTGCACACCCCCTTCTCAGCTCCTCTTTCTTAGGGTCTATTTGGAACTCTGAAAATTTAGTCTACAGTTCATACTGAAGTTAGACTGTGCCAATATGTGAAAATTGTGCTTTTGAGCTACAACCTGCAGCGGTCAGGCTTCATTTCCTCTTAGACTTGAAGTCTCTGCCTCATCCAAAGATCATTTTCCACTTACACACACATTAGAGTCTTAGCCTTGATGTACTGCAACATGCTGATGCTTCCTGTAGGCCACCAGCCCTGACAGAAAAGAGGGAGAAAGGCTGAGTGTTGGAAAAATTATTTTTGCCATTATAAGAACAAGTACCTGTAAAGCACCTCAGTTCCAGATCTTTTCAGCTGAAGTTCAAATTCGTGTTGCTTAAAGACAGACTTGAATCTGTATTCTGCCACCTACACATATATTGTTGTTTTCAAAAGAGTTGAGCATCCCACATCCATAAAGACTTGCCAATACAGTACAGTTTAATAGCAGATTTTTGCTACTGTAACTCAGTCTTTTTCCTCCTTTTCCAGCATTGATTACATCTCTGTAGAAGTGCTCTAACAAGTCCAAGAAAGTCATTTTAAAACATGAAAGAAAATACAGGTTTGACTCTTCTTACCCCAAATATTCTGTGCCCCGCACTGCTGTTGACATACAAGGAATGTATGTTTGAAGAGACTGGTGTCTGTGTCGGCTTTTGACACACAGCTGCCAATATGCTCTTGACAGCATGTTACTACCTGGTATTTGATCTTACCACATACCCTACTTGGGTCACATCTGATGTCTGTGTAAGAAGTGTATATACATGGATCCAGGTGCCTGCTGACATATTTCTTTTTAACCCTGGTAAGCCCTGCCACTGCACAAGAAACTCAGTATTTCTCTGTGAGATAATGACTTCTGGAGGAACCGACTCCTGGCAGTTATTGAATATGACTGGTAACAGCTCTAGGATAGTTAGATCCAGAAAAGCAAAAGACGAGTTTCAGTGCTACCAGGAATAATCATCCTCACCACCAGCAGAATCCTCCTAGTCAGAGCAAACTGGAGGCAGGAGCTCACAACACTATGGGCAGTTTGCAACTCTTCAAGCACTGCTGTGCGCTGTCAGTCACGCCTCAGGAAATCTCTTGCATCCTTCATAGAAAGGTCATCCCTCAAGTCACTCCTACCAACAGCCTCTTTGCGCTTTCCCCACAGCTGCAGCCAATACTTGCTGGAAAATACAAGATGGAACACTTTTTGAATTAGGTAACAAAACAAATTGTCTGGAATTAACTTAAATTTTGTGGTGTGACTGAAGTTCCCAGGTTCTGCTGAAAACCAAGCGCATGGTATCCCCAGGTGCCTCCAGGGAGTTAATTCTTGGGAGCACCTTCCCACCCTTGCAGCTGCTGGAAAACTTTCTACAGTGGAATGAATTCTGTGACATGCTTTCAGGAGGAATGAGGTTTTTGGAGCCCATGTAGAGGGCAGGAGCTCCTGTGCAATGGAGCGCCAAGGGAAATGAGTGCACCTTTGCTTCCAGGGTGAATTCAGGGACATTGTTTAAGGCTACCGTCCTTTTGCGGCCAGGACCTGTGCAGAAAATTAAGCACAGCTTAGCAAGTGATCCACTCCAAAGAAAGTATCTTTAGAAGGGATGCAAAAGAAGCCAGAGAAAATGGGATTAAAGCTGTAGACAGAATGAAAGAAGTATCTGCAAGCATTTTTTCACCACAAAGCCTACTTCAGCCCTGCACACAAAGTCAGGCTCTCAGGCTGTACCTGCAGTAGAGACTGAGAAATTTGAACACTTTCAGTAAATTCCCACACTGTGCTGGGGCTGCAAAACAGACCACTCACACCAGTGCCCAACTGCAGATCATTCCAGGAGGGGAACACTGATTTCTTTTAAGATTAAATTGCAGATCTGCTCACAGTTCAAAGTCCTTCCTTCCATCAAGACAAGAACATCACCAAAATAACTTAAAAACAACATTGTGTGAGATAAGGCCCTGGGAATATCAGGTTTCTACAAAGTGTCAGAATAGACAACACGACTTTCTTATATTGCAGTTATCTAAGAGGCTGATAAATTTTTGTTTCTTCCCTTTCAGATTGTTTAAGGCATTTTTTTTCTTCAAAGTTGCAACTCTGATTGAAAATGCTGTTATGCCATCTGGTAAATCTCCCGTGATGTGAGGAAACAATATCCAGGCTCTTCTGTCAACAAAAATATCCAGTTTAGATTATTAAAACTCAAGGCGTTGTTGAATTCATCTGCAAAAGGGTGCAGTCAGCAGGACAAAATTCTAGCAGTCTCACATCCCCCAATACTGTTGTTCAAAGTGAAGTTTTGGCACAAGTTACTAGGAGGAAGGAAAGCTTAAGCAGAAACGTGTTTAAAAGAAATAGGTCTTGGATGAAGAAAAGAGTCAAGAGCTGGTCTAATCTGGCCACAAGGGGCCAAATTTGTCCTTGCATAAGTAGAAAAGTCTTTCATTACCGTCAGTGGGACCTCACCCAAACAAAATTGAATTAAGAAGAGGCACAGAAGCAAAGACATTAGAAGGAACAGATCTTTTCCTGTCTCGCAGTTGTGCAGAGAAGGTGTTAAATATAATTTTTATTGTGAGTGGGGCCTTTTGCCAAGTGAAACAAAAGTTGCAGATTGTATGCACAGGTGTTGTAGACAATGATAAAAGAGGAGTGAGGGTTCTTACGCAACTGTACTCCCTAAAAGTCTGTCAGTGCCTATTTGCAAAGTTAAAAGTCTGTGGCACTCCATTTTGATAAGTGAAAATCCTAAACAGTTTGTGAGGAGCTGCAGGTTTGCTGATCTTGTGTTAAAATGAGACAGATTAACAGTTCTCAAGTCTGCTGACTGGTAGGGATCCATACATCCAGCAGCTGACCTGCAGAGGCCATGCACAACCCACCCCATATCATGCCTTTACGCAGTTTGGGTGCAACACCCAGATGGCAAGGACACCTTAGATTTTGGGAGAAACATCAAGGTTTCCTTAAGGTACAAATATGCTAAATGTTTAAAAGACTTAAATAGCAGTGTGTTGTTTGACTTTCAGATGGATGGCTGGATTCTGGGGTCCTCACCTTTGACTTCCAATTCAAATTTCCTCCAAATATTCCCTCCACATTCACCAGCAAAATTGGCTGCATCTCCCACTTTGTTTGAGGGACTTGCTGCAGCTGCCAAATTATCTTAGCTAAAGAGGAGAGATATCTACTGTTGCAAGGAACTTCTAGTGACCACAGAAGATGTGTGAAAGACAAGATAAGTGGAACAAGCTCTCTGAGTTGGAGACACACAGACCTACCCTAATGATGATTCTGATGATTTTGTGGCCTCCCTCTAAATTTGGGTATGGATAGCTGACGGTGAAAATGTTTACATGTGCACAAATTAATTCTTTGCACAGATGCTGAGGAGGACTGTGGTAATTCAGCTATATCACATTCGGTGCGGTGAGGAAGACTGTCCTCCGGGTTAATAGTGGGACTTGTGGGGAAGGTTGAGGAGCCTCAGCTGTTACATTAGGAATCACCCTGTATTCAGCAGCAAGAACTCACCATGCTTTGTATTTCCACTCACCCTCTCCATGCAGGCCTCACTGGTGGTGGAAGCTAGGAAGCATGTAGTTTATTTCTGCTGCTTCTGTCATGGCTCTGTGAACCTTTGGGTTTCTCTGGAGAAAAGCATATTGTGCTCCAGAGAAGTCATTTTCTTCAAGATAGATATTGCCAACAGGACATGCAATTACGTTAGAAAGGCCTTTTTTTTTGCTGTATGCTGCATTGTCCTGTATGGTGGCTTCAGGAGCAGGGAAGAACAACTTTCGTTGGAAGACCAAAGCGAAGTGATGAAGTTGGAGTTCCAGACAGACATGGCTCCCTTTGAGGCTATGAGAGTTGTCAGTGTGCTGGTTCTGCTGAAACCCATGCCTGTCGCCAGCACTCTCATGGAAAATAAGATCATGGCATTCAGGTACGAGCTGGTAGGCATCTCTGACCTTCCTTGTGCCAAATCCACCGTTGTGGCCAGGGAGCAGAACAGCAAGACTCTGCATGAAAATGAAGATGACATCTCAAAGGGGGTGAGCCTTCACAGAGACATTTCTGAGATTGACCCAGGAGCCATTGCCAGAAGATCCACAGAATAAAAGATTGTTCTGCAAAATCCACATTCACTACTTGTATGCTTTCGCAGGTCAGCCTGTTTTTACAGTGATGCGCCAGTGATTCTCAAAACAAGAGGATTAAATCTCGCCAAAGCCCGAGGTCAGGAAGGCCCATAAGGGGACTGACTCCTGATAACTGGATAAGGAAGAGCAGAAGCCTCAGCAGTGGCCTAGGCAGAGAGGGGACGCTTTGCATGCCCAGAAGGTGGATGTGCTCCTGTGCGTGGGAAAACGGCTGCATGCAGAGCACACTCTCAGTGAGCTGGCGGGCAACCTGAATGTAGAGTCCACTGATTGCTGGTTAGTTAGGTGCTGTTAATTGAATAAATCACTCTGATTCTGATATGATTTAAGCCACGTGAGCTGAGCCACTTTGCCCTGCGGCAGGCTGCTGCTGTGGTTTGCCCCAGTGGGTGCCACCCAGGGAGGGCTGTCCTGCCTGTGTCCCCTGCGGGCTCCCGCTGTGTGCCCAGGCTCTCCAGGGAGCAAACACAGAGCAGCTGGCCTCCTTCGCCCCATGGCACAACCTCAATCCCACAGCGGAGCTCTTGTGGCAGTCATCTGGTGGGACTCACCCACTCGCACAGCTGCGGCCTCGAGTAACATGAGCATGCAAGCAGCGCCTCCCATCCCGCACCCCTGCATCTCCACATTTTTTTCCACAGAAGGGGCAGTGAGGAGTGGGGTAGATAAGCTGAGGACCAGTAGGTGCCCCTGGACCACCTTCTTTACATCTGTTCCTGTACCCAGCGGCCCTTATAGGACCAAGAAACCACCATTCACCCCTGTGGCACGGCCTCATGAAACCACTGCGTGCGTCTCAGCA